GTTTTCAATGTTTCAATAGCAGCCATGGGGCATCCTCCTATCTGCTACTTGGATTCTCCCCCATTCGAGCATTGACTGCGCATATTTGACCAACAATACAAATGGAGATTGACCTACCAGCCACAGAGCAAAGCCCTGGTCCTGCAGGCACAGCAATGAGACAAAGGGCTTTGTAGGTGCGGCACCATTACCATGAAATGGGTTAAAGAACTAGTCCCCCTTGAAGGGCTTGGACAGAAGAGCCTTTATCTGAAGCTGAACTCATCGCAGCCTAGTGAAAATCAGCTCACCTGGAGCTGTCTGAAAATGTGCCTCTGCACAATGGCGCGTGCGTGTGTGTGTGTTTCACTAATGTTAATGGACATTCTGGGCGTGCCTTGGGAGGTCTGCCGAACTCCTCCTGCCAGGCTCAGTTCTGTCCGCAAAGGGCTTTCTTGTGGCTTTTCATGGCACAGCCCCATCATGGGAAAAGCAATCCTAGAACACTAGAACTGGAAGGGAACTTGAGAGGTCATCAAGTCCAGTCCCCTGCCCTCCTGGCAGGACCCAGTACCATCTAGATCATCCCGGATAGGTGTCTGTCTAACCTGCTTTTAAATATTTCCAGAGAGAGATTCCACAACCTCCCTAGACAATTTACTCCAGTGTTTAACCACCTTGACAAGAAGTGTTTCCTAATGCCCAACCTAAACCTCCTTTGATGCAATTTAAGCCCATTGCTCCTTGTCCTATCCTCACAGGCCAAGGGGAACAATTTTTCTCCCTCCTCCTTGTGGTACCCTTTTAGATGCTTGAAAACCGCTCTCATGTCCCCTCTCAGTCTTCTCTTTTCTAAACTAAACAACCCCAATTCTCTCAGCCTTCCCTCATAGCTCATGTTCTCTAGACCTTTCATCATTCTTGTTGCTCTTCTCTGGACCCTCTCCAATTTCTCCACATCTTTCCTGAAACGTGGTGCCCAGAACTGGACACAATGGCCAGGACTGGGGACAGACTTGCTGCTTTGGGCTGAGGAGGCAAAACCGGTTCCTGGCAACTACGGGGTAGGGGGCAGGGGCACGGCACCGCACGTTACGCTCTTTCATGAGATGCAGCCTGTGCCTCCACAAGCACGGTCAATCCTTGTGCAACCCTGGCCCCACTTAGGAAGTGCAGCACCACCAGCGATACTGAGATTGTTGCATGCTTATGCTCAGGAAGACCCGTTCCCCCGCTCCCGCATACAAGGCACTCCCTAGAGGCTGAGGCCAGAGCGTGGCTCCAGTCTTTCTGTGCACGACGGGGGTGAAGAAGAAGGCTGCCACCATGATCCAGCCATACTGGGCTGCTTGCTGGGCATTCACACCTGCCTAATAGGGCATTGATACCGTGAGCACCAAAGTCACCAAGAGGTCATGAAATCTCAACTCCACGCAGAGCTTGTCCAATTTCAAGCTAGGGGAAGAGGCACCAGGGAGGGAGAGAGATCTGGTGATATCGCGGTCACAAGAACAAAAATGAGATATGACTGGACCATCCATAATCAAGTGTAGGAAAGTGTCCATGAACACAAGCATGGATAGTTTTACTGGTGCTTGTCCTTTCCAGCAAAGGGGATGTTACTAAGCACAGTGTCACGACTGGGGTGTTTCGTTTGAATGCATAAGAACGGCCACACTGGATCAGACGACCAAAAGGCCATCTAGTCCAGGGTCCTGTCTGCCGACAGTGGCCAATGCCGGATGCCCCAGAGGGAGTGAAAAGAAAAGGGAATCATCACATGATCCCTTCCCCGGCCCTCATTCCCAGCTCTGACAAACAAGCTAGGAACACCATTCCTGCCCATCCTGGCTAATAGCCACTGGTGGACCAATCACTCCATGAATGTATCTAGTTCTTTTATGAACCCTGTTGTAATCTTGGCCTCCCCAACATCCCCTGGCAAGGAGTTCCATGGGTTGATCGTGTGTTGTGTGAAGAAAAACTTCCTTTGGTTTGTGACCACTAGATCTCGTTTTATGAAAAAGAGTAAAAAGTGTTTCCTTATTTACGTTCTCTGAACCTGTATCTATCTCTGTACCAGATTTTTAGAACTCTATCATATCCATCCCCCCAGTCTTCTCTTTTCCAAGCTGAAAAGACCCAGTCTTATTAATCTCTCTGCTTATAGAAGCTGTTCCATACCCCTAATAATTTTTCTTGCTCTTTTCTGTATTTTTCCAGTTCCAATAGATCTTTTTTGAGATGGGGTGACCACACCTGCAGTGTTCAAGATATTTTCTGTCTTATTATATATCCTCTTCTCAATGATTCTCAATATTTTGTTCACTTTTTTGACTCTCGCTGCATATGGAGTGGATGATTTCAGAGAAGTATCCACAATGATTTCTCTCTCTCTTTTTTGAGTGATAACAACTAATTTAGACCCCATTATTTTATGCGTACTGTTGGGATGATGTTTTGCAATTGGCATTACTTTGCTCATTCGGATCAGGCGCTCTATATTTTTATACTCCAAATCAGCAGCAGGCAATAACTGGCCTCCGGGCCAGGCACAGCTCACCATGGTTAACCATTGGCAGGCCAGTGCCGTTTTATTTACCCGTCCCGCTGCAGGAACGGATGCTTGCAGCTCCTGTTGGCCATGAATCACCGCTCCTGGCCAATGGGAGCCGTGGGAAGTGGTGTCTTGGTCCACCCGATCCATGGTCAATGGGAGCTGCAAGAGCCTGTACCTGCAGATGTGTGAGTAACTAAAGTGGCGGCAGCCCGCCAGGGTCTAGCCCTGGTGAACCACCTTTGTCTTGTTCCTTACCCTTGCTCCACATCCCATCCCCATCCAAGTCTGGGAAAAATCCATTTGGCTTCAGTGGAAGCACAACCTAGCCTTGTATTAATATCACATATATTTTAGTAGCCACTGTACCGATTAATACATTTCTGATGCCCATAATTTGGCTACACCCTTTCTGCAGACTGGGTCAGACCAAAGGTCCATCTAGCCCAGTGTCCTGTCTGCCAACAGCGGCCAATGCCAGGTTTCCCAGAGGGAGGGAACACAACAGGTAATCATCACGTGATCCCTCCCTGTCACCTGTTTCCAGACAGACAGAGGCTAGGGACACCATTCCTACCCATCCTGGCTAATACGTATGGATGGACCTAACCTCCATGAATCTATCTAGTTCCTTTTTGAACCCTGTTAAAGTCCTGATCTTCACAACGTCCTCGTTTTAAGTTTTTTAAAGTTGCTGACTAACACGCTACCCTCTGAGACTTTCCTCCTGTTTTAGTTAAAGGACACAGCTACCCAAAAAGGAAGGGAGGCTAAGCTTCTATGCTTGCTGGTGTCTGATCCCCTTCCAGTAATACAAGAGAGAGATTTTATTTTTATCTCAGAGCAAATGCAAAGTCACAGCTTTCCCTGAGAACGATAAGAGATGCACATGTCCTAGGGACTTCTTTATTGTCGAATCTTGAGCTCAGCTTTATTTGCGATTCCTGGCTACCCTTACCAAATCTAAACCAGTTTCAACAGCGAGACAACATGCTCAGTACATTACTAACTGGCAGCACATCGGTGACATTTTAATGGGCCCAAGCCACCACTGTATTTCTGTAACGTTATGCCTGTGTTATTCCACTGAGATCCATCAAGACACCGCTATTGGTTCTGCATTCCCGGGCACAGGAGTCATTGGCTTTGATTTTCTAGGAGTTATGCTGTCACATAATCCGGACCAATATGTGCAGGAGCGTGTTTTCTGGAGCAGCAGCAAGGCAAGGGTTATGCGGTACTGGTGTGGACACAGCGACAAAATGAGGAAGGACACATGCATGGAATTAAGTTGCAAGCTGCAACTTCTATTCCACTTTAAGACAAGGGTGGGGTGCTGCCCTCCCAGTCCCCACCCTCTCCTGTTTAATTGGCTCTGGTGTGGGGGTTACAGGGATTCCTATCATGTTACCCATAATGCCTCAGCTTACCCCTAAGGACTCAGATCTCTGCCTCCTAATACCCCCACCCACTCCTCGACAGGACCAGAGGTGGGGACCTCAGCCACAAGGGCAGCCCGTTTTCTCCCTATCACTTGAGCCCAATGCCCATCCCCCCAATCCCTGGTATTTTTACCTCTGGCAGCTGTTCATTTTATCCTTTTCACCACACTGAGAATCAACCCCAAACTGGGATGAATAAACACCAGCCCTCCAGTACCTCATTTGGGTGCTAAATTTATGCCCATGTAAACCACTGTGGCTTGACGGAGCTGCAAGGAAGGCAAAAAACTCCCTCGTCCTCCACCAGTTGGCCCATGGGAGAAAAAAATTCCTTCCTGACCCCATACACAAGCAGTTGGTTAGACCTGCAGCATCTGTCAGGCCAGGTTCCTATTCCTGGGAAGGGTGGGTTGCTGGAATGGAGCCAAAAGATGCTCCACATGGACCTCCCCCACCACCAAGCTGAATAATGGGAGCTGGTGAATTAGCATGCCTGTCTCCTAGCTGGCCAATCAGTGCCAGGGGGAGGAGCTTCCAATTGTCTATTGGTGAGTGACTCCTTCCTTTGCTGCTGGGGCTGTCTACCTTTCCCTGCTGGACTTAGCAACTTTTCCCATCCAATGATGTGAGCAAGTGGCATTTACAGTATTATATACGGCCCTGAGGGGCAAACACACACCCCCCCCGACTGCAGTGGTAAAACTAAATCCTCACCATCTGTTTCCAGAAAGGGTAAAGCCACAGGCCTGATCCTGCAAACTTTACTCGCTGGAGCCATCCTTATTCAGAGAAGGAGGCCTGCTGAAGCCATGAGGTCTACTTGCATGAAAATGGACAACTTGCACAAGTAAATGTTGCAAGCCCGGGCCCTAGTCTAGCGTCTACTAATTATGAAAATATTATGCCACTGGCAGAACACTAATAACACCAGAGGAATTTTGTAAGAGCAACCCAAAGGCAGGAGTGCTACAATTGGAGAGTGCTTTGGGGGGATGTCTAGCTGCATCTTTCTAAAGAAATACCTTTGATTAATAATTTAGCTGACGATATGAGGGGCCCAGCTCTGAAAGTCACAGTCCCCGAATCATCGGGCCCTAGGTTCTTTAGGGTCAGAGTGTGGATTGTCCCATCTCGCACCGCGATTTCATTCACAGAGCTGTTCTGCAGGGGAGATCCATCGAGCCACCACTGTACGTTCTGTACCCCCGGGCGCGAGAGCTCGCAGGTGAACGTGGCCGACTCCCCCGCAAAGACGTCCGTGTTCCTTAAACCACAAACTATTTCTGCTTCCTCTTCTGTATAACAGAGCAAGAAAATGGGGACACCGGAGGGAGAACAGAGGATAAACACGTACACGTTCCTTCCGCAGAACCGATCAAAAGCACAGCTCTTAAAGACACAGAGTCTGTGAACTACTTTCAAATGCTTTTGCACAAACTTGTCACAGTCCTCAGACAAACAATGAGCTCCACTTGCTTAAAAGGGATGGGACACCCCAGATTTCAACCTTGATCCCAAGAATATTTTTCACTTGCCTACAAACATTTATTCGGAAATATTATTTCACTATGAGGACAGGCTTTAGGAATTTCGTGATCACTTCATGATTTGGTGTCCTACGTGAAGTCATCTGTACTGATTCTGTAAACTCTTTATGCCAGGGATCTTCCTTGTGATTTAAGTACCCTGTATACTTACAATACTATAACATAATAAATAATAATAATAATAATAATAATAATTAACAACATGGTATTCAATATTTTCATAGCACTCACGCTAAGCAAATAATTATGTAAGTAGGTGTTACACCATTTTATAGACATTGTCTCTGAACTCCATTACAGGCAGTCCCCGGGTTACATGGATCCGACTTACATCGGATCCCTACTTACAAATGGGGTGAGGCAACCCCGCACTAGCTCGCCGTCCCCCCAGCAGACCGCCGAGACCCGCTGCGGTCCCGCTGCCCGCGTCCTCCGCGGCGAGAAAAGCCGCTCCACGTCTCCCTGGTCTGCAGGACTGAGGGAAGTGAGGTGTGGGAGAATAAAACTGAGCTCTGGAGAAATGTTTGGCTAGAGTTTCCCCTATAATATGTACCAGTTCCGACTTACATACAAATTCAACTTAAGAACAAACCTACAGTCCCTATCTTGTACGTAACCCGGGGACTTCCTGTATATTATAAATACTGGTCCATATTCAGGATGGATATAAAAATGTGCAACATCACTGAAATCAAGCCATATACTGGGGGAGTTATACCTACTTAGCTCAGGACTAAATCGGGCCTGTTGAGTGAAGAACCACCTAAGTGAATGGTGTATTCTTACCTTGTACATACACAGAGCCTGTGGTGAGCTCAGACCCGGTGCTACAGGTATATGGCCCGCAGTCCTCCACTTCCAAGTCATGGATAATTAACTCCACCTTGGTGCCCTTCTGCCGCATCTCATACTTATCACTGGGCTGGAGGACCAGACCTCCTTTCCTCCACTCCACCGGCACATCAGGTTTGGAGATCTCGCACTCCAGAACAGCGGATCCTCGTTCGTCTGCCTCCACATTGTGCAGTTCTTCTTTGAAAACCACAGGGAGCACTGCAGTGGAGAAACAACTACTGTTGTGGTAACGCTGCTGGAGGTACTGAGCCATTCCATTCATCTCAGCTCCCTCCCTCTGGCTCCTCGCTAGTTGTGGGTCAGAGAGATGGAGAACTGGAAGTGCTAGGCCACTGCAGTGCTTCCAGTTTCACTGTGGCCAAAGCCCCATAGGGAGTGGCCACAGACAATGCAATAGTAGTAGATCATCGCTGCCCAGTGCAGGGCTGCTATGAATTGTGGACTGTAAGGTTTGGCCTTTATTTTCATACCCACGATTTTGAACCTACAATCGAGTATAAGCACAAAGATGCAACTGAAACTGATCGTCTTTGAACATCAAACTATCTGGATTGCATGTCTAATGCAACACCCTGGGAGGGTGGGGTCAGCGGTAACATATTGAACTCAGCACCTCTGAATCTAAAAGCACGAACTGTGAATGGCCACGCAACGTGAGCCCACAGCTGTTAGCTTAAAGCCAGAAGAAAACTCACAAACTTAGCCACTGGAGACAACAGAGCATGACAATACGCACGTGTGGGTTACACAGGTACAATCAGTCACAGCGGTTACCATCTGTAAATCAATATTTGCTAGCTATGAACATACAACATGTCGTATGCAGCAATATTTCCCCATTCTAAGTATAGTGAAATGTTCTTATCTTAGATAATGCAGTGAAGTAACGGTTGGCAAATCTCAATTACATAAAAGCTGTAGGTTTGTTCCAGCATTTGGTTGTGAGACCAAATTGCAAGTGCAGTAACAGAAGCATTTTTTTAAAAAGTTTGGTCCATCATGTACAAATAACTGAATCCCGGTCTCATTGTTATGATATATACAGTAGCCCAGTGTCTGGTAAATCACCGCCCCCCCTTCCCCTCCCCTGCCGGGGCCCAGCTAAGGGGTGCAGCACTCAGCCCAGCCGCCACGGTGGGAGGGGAAAGGGGCGGGGCAGTGATGTACATGGCCCGGGGTGGGGCCCGGCCGTGTATGTCACCACCCCACCCCTCTTCGCCTCCCACCGTGGCGCTTGGCTGAGTTCTGCGCTGCTCTGCCAGGCCACCGTGGGGGAGCAAGAGGCACAAGCAGATGTTTAGGCTCCACGCTCCCCATGCTGCATGCGGATCGTGGAGCCCAAACAGCCACTTGTGCTGCTTACCCCTGCACAGGGAGCGTGGAACCCAAACAGCCGTTTGGGCTCTGCAATCCCCCGAATGAGAGGCAGAAGGAGGAGGAGGAAAAGAGAAAGGGAGAGTGAGAGGCAGGAGGGGGAGAAGAGAAAGAGAGACGGAGAGGGAGGCAGGAGGTGGAAGAGAGCTAAATAATACACAACAACACACTTTCTCGTTGCGACATTAAAACGCGATTTGCTGGCTGATCAACGTTAACGATACATCATCAATAAAACGTTCACCAGTTTTGGAGGACATCCAAAGTCTTAATGCCTATTTACCACAAATCAAGCCTCTTCCTACCTTTGACTAGCAGCGCAGCGGTGGTTTGCTGGTCTCCTGAATCACAGGTATACTCCCCAGCATCCTGAAGTTCCACGTCATAAATAAACAGCTCAACAAAAGTTCCCTCCTGCCTGAGTTCATACTTGTCACTGGACTGCAGCACCACATCTCCTTTTCTCCATTCCACTGGGGCAGTCGGTTTTGTCAGCTCACAGCGCAAGGCGGCCGTACACCCTTCCTCAACTTCCTCATTTTGGAGCCAACGTTTGAAGAGCACAGGGAGCGCTAAATGCGTGAATTAAGCAAAACAAGAAAGAAGGTTGTTGGGTTTTTTTTAAATGTCCTGACAACAGTTTGGACAATGATGGAATTCCAAAAGTTAATGGGCAAAATTCTGCCTGCATTTACACTTCGGGGTGTAAGAATATAGGCAAGGATGGAATCTGGCCTAGACATGTCAAAATGGATGATAATTCTCTGCTAGATCAACTATTTTTTGTAAGTTGGTAATAAAATTTTGCAAATTAGTTTGTACTCAGGGATAATTTAGTACCTGTGTCTTAACAAGTCATTCAAAAATGATGACGGGATTTCAGTGGGAAAGGTGGGTTTGGTTCTATACAAGGGGCATTTTAACTGAAATAAGATAGTTTTAACCACTTCTTAAAAAACCCTACAATTGTTCAACAAACCATCATTTCATTTACAGTTCTCACATGAGGCTAATTTTTAATGTTGCGTTTCTCAGTGTAGTCCATTTTGTAAAGGTAAGAGTGCTGATTGCACATTCATTCCATCATCTGAATGAAAAATCAGAATTTCTGTCCTGTAGGAAATTCTAGCATTTCAACATTTGATTTCATGCTGAACTGGAGTGCAAAATCAAACAGGAATTTTTTAATGTGGAACAAAAAGTCCTGAAATAATTGATTTGGAAATATCAAAATGTTCATGTTGACATTGTCAATCCCACCAGTGAAATGTTTTGACATTCTCAAATTAGAATGTTTTGTTTTCAGTTACGTCTGTATCAAATTGCATTGTTTAAGGGCATGTCTACATGAAAACTATTTTGAAATAACTAAAATCGTTTTAATAACTCCCAAAATCAAAATAGTGTTTCCACACTACAGGGAAGCCTCGAAATTAGTCTGGGGAAGGCTCTGTTGATGAGGACGTATTACCTCGGCTTAGAGCACTGGGAGTAATTAGTTAGAATTACTCTGGGGAGTAGTTATTTCGAAATAGCAGCAGTGGAGCATTCACACTACTGCTGTTCCAAAATAGTTATTTCAAAATTAGCATTATTCCCTGAGGAAAGGAGAACAGATTTAGAAATAAGCAGCTGGTTATTTCAAAATAACAGGCATTGTAGTGTGAATGCTCCACTTATTAATTTGACCTAATGTAGACCAGGGCTAAGGTACCATGCTGTGTCCTCACTCTTCCTTATTGGCTGGGTCTCTGGCTGGACTAGAGCTCCCATAATTCACTAGTGTCTTGTGATTCTCACGATGCATTACATGGTTCAGTGAGAGAGGTATCCATGGTGCATCATGGAAGATGTAGTCCAGCCCATTGGGGAGAATGGGAACACGACGCACTCAAACTACAACTCCCATGAGGCATGGCAGCACCTTAGGCAGATACAGTTTAATGTTGATCCAACCTGAAATGAAAGATTTAGTTTAGATTTTCCCAGCAGAACACCAAACATTTTGGCAAATTTTCCTGTGGAAAAATTCCCATTTTGAAGAAACTGTGTATCTCACAGAAACCCATTTGACAAGAAAATCCTAACCAGCTCGAATAATGATTACTAAAGACAAGATCGTTTTTCACCTCCAAAAATGAAATCCTTGAATGCAAGAAGAGCGATCCCAGAGCACAAACACCTGCAGATATGAAACAATGATATTTTATGAATGGCTTCAGAGCATGGCGCTTAGGGGACATCGTCTCACCTTTGACCTCTAGTCTGGCAGTGGTCCTCTTGTCAACGGTATTACAGCTATACTCCCCTGAGTCCTCCGGCTTTAAATCATGAATGAGCAAAGTGTGCACATTCCCTTCCTGCTTGATTTCAAACTTTGTACTGGACTTGATCACAGACGAAGCTTTCTTCCATTCCACGGGGACGTTCGGCTTGGATAGTGCACAGTATAGTGTTGCCGTGTCGCCCTCTTGCAGGTCTTTGTTCTCAAGCAACTTTACAAATATGGCTGGAGCAACTGTAGAAAGGGGAATGAAAGCATTTTGCACAGGTATAAACAGGCATGTAGACAAGCAACTCTTTCATATGGGTAATAAGAAATGTACAGCAGCCTGAAATTTAATTCTCAGATGTCATGTTTCCACAGAAAGTCTCAGAGGGGCGGCCGTGTTAGTCTAACTTTAAAAACGAGTCATCCTGTGGCACCTTAGAGACTAACAAAAAATATATAGAGATAATCATGAGCTGTCATGGGAAAAATCCACTTCATCAGATTTTGCCCACGAAAGCTCATGATTCTATATATTTGTGTGTTAGTCTCTAAGGTGCCACAGGACTGCTCATTGATTTTAAAAAAAGCTAAAACTTACAGAACAGGGGGCTGTAGCGGGGAAAGCTGTGACTCTGAAAAAGATTCAGGGATTGGTTAAATCGATATTGGAAGACTGTGCCCAGTTCTAGGGTCCAGGTTTTGAAAAAGATGCTGAAAAATTGGAGAGGGTGCCAAGAATGATTAAAAATGACCCCAAATGACCCCAAAATGATTGAAGATCTGGAGAAAAGCTCTTTGCAATGAAAAAATTCACAAGCTCAATCTGTTTAGCTTATCAAAAAGAAGATGGAGTGTTGAATTGGTGTATATAAATACCTTTACTGCGAGAAAATACCTGGTACTAAAATGTTCCTTTCTCAAGGCAAGAAAGACGTAACACAAATGCATAGCTGGATATTACAATCAAACACATTCAAATTGGGAATGAGGCACCATTTTAACAGCAAGGATGATTAACCATTGAAACACACTGGCTAAAATCATGGCAGAGTATACTTCTCTTGAAGTCTTCAAATCAAGACTTGCCTTTCTGGAAGCTATGCTTAGTTGCACACACGTTGTTGGGCTCAATGTCCGAGTAACTGGCTGAGATTCTCTGGCCAGTGTGATACAGGAGGTCAGACCAGATGATCTAATGGTCCTTTCTAACCTTAAAATCTACACACCTATTATTCTAGCCCCCCACACCTCACCCCTTGTTGACACCTGCTGGATCACGATAAAAGAAACTAAAAATAAATTAAATAACTTTTGTAGCATTGATTTTCCATGTAAGCACTTGCTGTAGTTGCTACAGGGATGTTATATTATTGTAAACTGGAGAGATTTCTGCAAGATAGCCTGATGATTCTGATGTGGTCCAAGCTATGAAACAGTGGAGACACCCATTGAAAGATAACAAAAATCCCTCTCCCGTCCAGTGAAAGATGTTCCCTACAGCACATTTTCCAGTGTTTTGTCTCATGAAGTATGGGTGTAGAGGAGAGAGAGGAATCAATAGGAGGAGACCACAAAATGGTCCTGATTCTGATGACGGAGCATGATTTTACACCAACGTGCTCTGACATCACAGTCGGACTCTATGAAACAGAAGTTTTGGAGGAAACCCCCCCACACGAATAACAATGGATCTGATTCTGCATTTCATAGAATCACAGAGCGGGAAGAGACCTCAGGATCTGGAAGAGACCTCTCTCAGACCTGGGGGAGGCCTGAGACCTAGGTCCAGTGGTCAAGACTTTGCTAACACAAAGCAAAATGAAAGCTGTGAGCAGAAGACAGGCCCCACTCACAGAACCTGACACGAACAGGGTTAATGGTGTAAAATGATGATTGATACTAATTCTGCAATATTTTGGTGCCCACATACTCCCTACCGATAACAGGCACACAGAGCCAGGTTCAGGTCAGGGTCTAAACCGACAGAATGATAGATAGTGATCGGACCCCCATATACAAGGTAGTGGGTGTTATTTAGGTAATGTCTCAGGATGGCACCCTGATGTGTCAGGAGTGATGTAGTATACCTGGGTATAAGAATCATAGAATCATAGAATACTAGGACTGGAAGGGATCTCGAGAGGTCATTGAGTCCAGTCCCCTGCCCCCATGGCAGGACCAAATACTGTCTAGACCATCCCTGATAGACATTTATCTAACCTATTCTTAACTATCTCCAGAGAAGGGGATTCCACAACCTCCCTGGGCAATTTATTCCAGTGTTTGACCACCCTGACAGTTAGGAACTTTTTCCTAATGTCCAACCTAAACCTCCCTTGCAGCAGTTTAAGCCCATTGCTTCTTGTTCTATCCTCAAAGGCCAAGATGAACAAGTTTTCTCCCTCCTCCTTGTGACACCCTTTTAGATACCTGAAAACTGCTATTATGTCCCCCCTCAATCTTCTCTTTTCTAAACTAAACAAGCCCAATTCTTTCAGCCTTCCTTCATAGGTCATGTTCTCTAGACCTTTCATCATTCTTGTTGCTCTTCTCTGGACCCT